GCTTATGAGACAATTTCCTAACATAGTTTCCATATAAGCTCAATTCAATTTGAAAATTTTTAAATTTCCTCTCTCTATTCAGGGAAGTATATATTGTCCCAAAAACACCGATAGGATTTCAGGTCAGAGGTCACTCTTATCAGGCGATGTTTGTGTCCAGTGAAGATCACTCGGTCATTTTTGGGTTGACATGAGGTAAATATACAACTACCCCATTGAAATCCATTTGTAAAGTCTGTATCAATAAGGGAACGAGTGGAGGCGTGTAAACTCTGACCTACTTCTGTGCTGAAGATTCTTGTTTTCATCAATGAGTAAGCAGATAATACCATTATGGCAAGAAAAGCACATTGAGGTCCTAGAATATAATGGATCAGTTAGACAAGGTAATGATTAGTCTACCAAAGTCAGGCTTTTTTCAAGATGCTTGTTTTCATGAATGAGAAAGGTTTTAATTAAGTCCTGAAGAGTGAATTTTTAACACTCAAAAACTGTTATTACAGGGTGATCCCCCTTTCTCTCAAGTATTGCTTCTTTATCAAGATTTATACATCTATCTTGTGTGCAATGTGATGTATTTTACACACAAGTCGTATCCGAACAAATCTTATCTCATCCCTCCCACATCTACAACTTTTTTTTCTATCCCAAATCCACTTGAAGGGTCACAATTATTCATATAACATTGCCATTTCACCGTTCTTTCAATCTCAACTGACTGCAATAATAAGAATATTTGTTATCAGCCATTTTTTGTAGTGCTTATGTAAGCCGAAAGTCGCAGTTTACAGATCCCAGGGATAACTTTGACACTTTAAGGCTGTATACTATCTCACTGTAACTTTTCCACAAGAGCTCCATATTATAGTATTTGACGAATATGTTTCAAGCATTACAATTCAGTTTATAAATGATTATTTAAACAACTACATGGTGAAGATAAATTAGAAAGGTACAGGAGAATAATTAAAAGGCTACAGTTGGTATTCTACAGGATAATGAAAGCCTATATAAACATAGGCACATGGAATATGGACAGGGTAATTTAATGTTAGTATAAAATCTAAATAAACAAGGAGGATAACTCAATGGACAGGGTAACTCTTCGTTACAATTTAGTCTAAATGTACAAGGGAAAATACACAATGGCCATGGCAATTCTAGATTATTACATAATTGTTAATGAGCAAGGGAGACAACTCCATAACATAAATCACCTTTTTATCATGAAAAGTAATATGTTACCTAATGAATACCCTGGATTTAAACTTCATTGTTCTTATTTCAAAGTTATATGTATTCACACTTGGAACACATAACTATATGTTTATTCTTGTTACAGATAAAATAGGCTATTTTGGGAATTGTTTTAAGTGTATTGTAAAATAATAATTTTTTTTAACATCTGGTGTTTTTTAATTCTGAAAGCTTGTTCAATCATTCTTTAATCATGAGTTAATATTTCACTTTAAAAGATATTAACTACAGGTTTTTATAAATTTTAAATTGATAAAACAATAAAAATGTAATGAATAAAAGATAAATTTAATTTTCGGTGTAATAACTGGTGAAACGGCTTGAATTATGTCAGTGTAAGCCAGCTAATCATCAAGGTGGATGAACATAGGATTAGAATATTTACAAATATCTCTGACAAATTTTGAAATGAAGCAGAGTGATTGTATAAGTTAGAACAATAAGTCAGAGAGCTCTGACAGGTTAAACCAGATATTTGACCTCTGCCAAATCTCCTAATTAGTCTGCTTTAGATGTGATTTGCTGACAGGTGATATCTGTCACCATGGCAGTAACTATGACAATTAGATTCTGTTTCAGGTTTCAGTCAAGGTTGCAACAAGTGTCTCCTCAAAACAGATACTCTCCTTTAAGACAATATATCTATAACTTAAACCTAAACTGAAACCTGTATATTTTGACCCCCCCCCTGTATACTTTGACCCCCCCCCCCTGTATATTTTGACCTCCCCGTATATTTTGACCCCCCCCCCTTGTATACTTTGACCCCCCCCTGTATATTTTGACCTCCCCCTGTATACTTTGACCTCCCCCTGTAAATATTTTGTCCTCCTCCTGTATACTTTGACCTCCCCCTGTATACTTTGACCTCCCCCCTCCCCCTGTATACTTTGACCTCCCCCCTCCCCCTGTATACTTTGACCTCCCCCTGTATACTTTGACCTCCTCCTATATACTTTGCCCCTCCTTTCTGAACAACAAGTTTTCTCTCACTGTTGCTTTCACATTTGAATTTCAAGATAAAAATAATTTGCTCTAAAGATATTAACATTTACACATTTGTATACCAGTAAATAGCTCACGTTTTATTAAACTGTTGTGTGGAATAAAAGTACAAATATAATCTGTTTTGCAAAAGTTAATCACTGCAAAATTGTTGTGATAAGAGAATCATGAAATTTAGTAACTGCGAATGAATTACAACTTGCTAGAAAGATTTTCAAGCACCAAGGCTTATAAAGTAAAACCCAGATAAAACATTTGACTGTTTTTGCCTGTTACTTATTTACCCATACTTTACACATTTTAGAGCCTATTCAACAAAATTGTTTGATTTTAGAATAATATCCAGTATCCCCTAAACATGTACTTTTAGGAAAAACACTAAACGAAAATTTCTAGATCAGCCCTAAAACCTGCCAAAAAAGACACCTAACAAACATGTAGCCCCAACAACATGGTACATGGGCTCCATCGACAGCCTGAGATAACATATCTCTCTGGAAATCTACAGTAATTAATTCTGGAACCTTGAGTGGGGCATTTTTTCACTCCAATACTTCAAAATAGCTGTGTCTGACATTAATGTTTCTGGCAGCGTAGAGCTGTGTGTGACCTATGATAAGATTGTCTCCCTTTAATGCCAATTAAAAGTTCTTCCCAGTTTTTAATTGACCCTTAAAGTCAGTGATCCCCTTAAAATCAGTGATCCCTTAACCCCATAAAAATGTCCCTTTCAAATCATGGTCATTCACCCCTCCTCCGCCTCCAAAAATCAACTAAAAGAACAAGGCATCCAAACATTTCTCAGATCACACACAGTGCTCTCCCCTTCTGCTGGATACCCAAACCATAATTGGTCTTTATATCAGCAATACTAAAAATGCCCTTTGTTCTATAAAAAAAATTTCAACTGACCGCCAACCTCACAAATTCCCTACATTTGCTCCCTCCCTTCCTTCCCTGTGTTTGAAGAGATACTAGTGTATACAGGCAACTGAGCCGGAAAAGAACCCATAAATCAGCCATTAGCAGACACTGTGCCGCATAAAATTGTCACGGCTTACCCCCACCCTCCAGGACAATTATGGGTCATTTCAGGTGAACTTACATGTATCAGAGGTCCACCAGACTATATCTGTTTGTAGTTTATTACCAGAAATCAGTTAACAATTAACTTGTTACCGGATGGGAGATAATTTGGTTCACCATTTTGTTACCTTCCCATAAACCTTCCCCCTGAGAGTGAAAAGTTTTGTTACTTCAAGTTTCTCAACACAGAGGTACAACTTCACCACACAAAACTACCTCAATGATACCCAACCTGTTAATTTAAATTCAATTTCCAGAAATTTATATTCTAGATAAAAATTGAATGGGAGGTATTATCAGTTTTTCTTAACACTTGATTGTGTTTTATGTCCCCATTGCACACCTTAAACTCACAACGATCACACACTCATCACCGTTTGTCGTGACGAGGGACTCCCATTTATCCAATTTACCTGGTATTTTTGTAAGCCATATGTTAACATGGAGAGTGTATCATTGGGACTTGCTGTTTTTCTGAGGCTAAATGTATCACCATGGAGGCTAGTTGCACTAAATGGCTGCTTTGCGTCACTGACGCCTCATCCCCATGATCCATCAACCCGCCAATAAAGAGGAATATTGCCTCAACTACTGCCTGTATGTAGCCATTTTGTTTAAATTTAAGGTTCTATTTTCACCCTTGTTATACAACTTCAAAACATTATCATAGAAAAAGTTAATTGAGTTTGGATTAAATTATGATTCAATAAAAAATGTAATACAAATCTCTCACATTCATTGTGTTTTCTTTCCTAACACAAACTTTATGATCAGAACTGTAGAATATTTCTATAATTTTCAATCCTTAAACATGTTACAGAATATTTATGTTGAATCACATGACTTTTCTTTGTCATTGTGTATTCAATAAATGTCACGGTCGATGAAAATATGAATTGAATTTGGATAACAGTATTATCACTATTATTTAATTAAATCAGCACTTCAATGCCTTTTCTGACACTATGTATCCCAGTAGATAGAAAAACTGACATAAATTGAATGGAGAAGTGGAGCTTAGACAGAACAGTATCGATGAACCTGCATAGAGAAATGATTATGTAGACGAGGAGGTAATATGTTAGAGCTTCTAAGGATTTCAGGTATATAGTAAGGATACACAGTGATCGGAATTATGTAGTCTGCACCAGACTCTCGCTGAATTTGTATGGATCATTACAATAATATTGACTGCTACGACAGGAATTCTGTTTCACTTGTAGAGGGAGGAATATTTAACAAGAATATCAGGAATATTGAGGGTTGTGTCGGTCTTCATTACCGATTCAACATGGTGAGCAAATTAAAAAGAATGCCTAGAATATCTTACATAGATTGTATGTATCCCAGGTTGTGAATCAATACAGTGTAACAACACAAGGAAAATGCAGTCAATAACTTGATCTAGTATAACAACATCAGGCAAATGTAGTCAATCACACTGATCAAGGTATACATTCCTAGGTTCAATCACAGAAAAAATTGATAAGAGTGATTTACTGTACAGTGAAATCTTCATCAAACAGTCCAGCATCTTGTTAATTGAATTGACCTGAATTGTTTTAGGTTAGAGATTTGGTTGACATGAGAAGAATATTCTGGATCAACAAGATTCCACTATACAGATACAAGAGGAAGTTTGTGGTACTTACTAACGACAACAACAGTGTAGTTTACATGGATGCTGCCAAAACCATTCACTGCTTTACACACGAAGCTACCACCATCTTCTAAAATTATATCCCGAATCCTTAAGGAGCCGTCCCGTAGGACATGATATCTATCCCACAATACATTTATATCCTGTCCATCCTTCAACCATTGAATCATGGGAGCAGGCTCCCCCTCTACCGGACACTTTATCTTCTTAGTCTGTTTCACTTTTAAAACATAGCGAAAATGAGCCTTGTCAGTGAGTCGTGGTGGACCTGAAACAAACATAAAAATATCATATTTAATAACAGAAATCAAAGTCACAAAAAATAGAATTCTATATCATGTTAATTTATTCTATGGAGAAAATGAAGCAGGCCTCATGGGTGAACACACTCTATAGTAAAGAGAGAATATATTGTGCTATTTTGCATTTTAGTTTTTAAACTTTATGAAATTGTTGAAATGATAAAAATTTGAAATGAAGGTGTTAATCATACATTAAATTTGTCGTATATCAGCTATTAATGGAGAGTAGTTTCATAATTCAGGTTTATTTACAACTTTTTAATTTATCCAATTGTTTCTATTGATAAGGCAAGTCACATAATTGAGAGATTCCTGGAGACTACAGACAATTCTTTGGCAACTCAGCAAATACTTGGGCGACTGCAGATAAATGTTTTGACAATTGTCAATTAACTATAAACAAGGTATCACAGTTGTATATCAACACAAATAAAAAGAATGAAAAAAGAAATGTTGATGACATTTTCATGTAGAAATTTTTTCTAGTAGTTTGAAGTGTTTTCCTTCCAAATGAATACAGTAGCAATAACTGTCACACCAGCTGATACATATGACAATGCTGGAGTGTTGACGACCGGAGCCAAACATCCTGCCATACGAAATAATAAGATGGTTGATTTATGTAAGTGTCCGTAATAACAGAGTGACTCATTGAACTTGTGATGGAGTTTGTGAAGGAGGCTGTGATGAAGAGCATCTACAAGTAGGAGGTTCTCCTCTACACACCCCTACAAACCACTCCAACAAAAACACGCTCCACATTTATACCATTATTCCTCTCATATTTTGTCCATCTTGTAGAGCTTAGTTCACAGTACTTCCATTTCCTTGAACTCAAGTGTACTCCTAACTAAAACAACCTGTCCTACCTCAAACTTCCAGGCAGTTGAACAACTCTCATTTGGTCCTTCATAATACTCACATTTCTCAAATAAATAGATTTTTGCAGTTTTATACCTCAATTTGTATTTTCATATAAAAAAATTCCAAACTTCTGAGCAGAATTTAGTGGTTCATGGCTTAAAACACATTTTTATAAATTTGTGAAATTTTGATTTCCCAGCATTTGGACTCCAACATCAAGTACTTACTGTAAATGTTGTTATAAACCCTACATTACATTAAAATCATGCATACATATATCAAAAATATGGACTATATTAAAAATTTTTGACTGACACAAGAACTGTTTACTCTATCATCATATGAAATTAAAAGTTTGAGACTGCCCGGTCACCCAGGCAATGGGATTAGTCCTAAATATTAATTCAAGTACCACAACATTCCCGGTAAGGAATCCCCACATACAGTTCACATGAATCTGAAATTCCTATTTAAATTATAGTACCACATGTCATACCCTCATAATTGATGCCATGTGTTAAAAATAAACCTCGGTATATAGACACTGAGCCTGTCAGCCACTAGTTTACATGATGTCAAAATAGTGTTACCACACCATTGTCACTATATACTGGATTCTTTAATTACTCAGCTACATCAGCATTTATCTCAGTGCCAAGTCCAGGTTAAATTAACATCATCAGTTATTCACCAATGCAGGTAACCTCAATTGACCTCTGACCCTACCCTACTGCAATATGGGAATGATTACCTGAAGTGGCCAGTAAATTTAACTCCCTTGGGTATCATCTAATACATTTACCGATTCTCAAGCTGGGAAATTTTGTCGACATTTTCCTACTCCAGACATTCAGGTTATTTTCTCCAAAGCAATATACTACCTAGTTAATTAATAGTTTTTTTAAGGAATGTTATGTCACAATTCTGAAGCCCCTAACTTATGTACAGCAAACTTTGTCAGGGAGACTCTATCAGCTTTTTTCCATTTCCAATTCATCATATTATGTAGAATTAATGCGACTAACCTCACTATGTCAGATAATTCCTGAGATGTGATTAACTGACAATAGATTGAACACTAGTGTGGGACTGGGCAGCAAGGCCTCCTTTCTGATGCCCTAATGAAACAATCATCTGGACTTTGATCCTATTTATAATTAAATCAAACCTTCCTTAAGAAAACATTTAAAGTGTAATTGCCATTCGAGAAATAGTTCACAGAAAACCTTGATAACATGCAACCCTTAGTTTCAGTCACAGACAAGAGATATTAGTGTCACAAAAGAATACACTCAAATGAACTCCCAAATCTGAAATACCATGGTGCTGATAAGGAGCAATTTAAGAACTTACAGAAATCAATTATTTTACGGAGGACTACTTATCTCACTCGACAATTGAATTTACTGTTGTGTTAGACGTATTCGGTGGAAAAACCTACCTACCTATATACAAAAGGTCCATCCTAACATGACTGAGCCCAACTAACCGTGTCCCCAAACACAGGCCTCAGTCTCGGGTTAGGGTGGATAGAGATCACAGATTAGACTATCGATTATCATGTGTTACGCTTATAAAAAAAATATGTTCAGGAACAAGCCATTACACAAAGAATGAGGCTGTGTACGCCTCATTAGTCGACTACGGGTGTCTACTGTAACAAGCCTCAAAAATGTTTATAGGTTTTACGGGTAGTTTGTGAGGACAGGAGACAGGGGTACGGTTACAGATAATCGCTAGAAATCGGCCTGCTGTATGTGCGGCCACTTAGACACACAAAAGACTAGTTACAGATACTACCATGCCCTCTTCCCTCCTTCAGTGCTATCCTATTTCACCATTTTGTCAGAGTAAGTTTTTTTTTATATTTTTTTCCTCTCAGACACAAGGTGATGCTATGTAAAAACTTTGTGAAGCAGGTGATGGGGTTTTAAATGGATACATTATTCCTGAAGTAGCCTTCAGTGGTTAACAACAGGAGAACATTTGTTCCAGTGTTATAACCAGGCTTTAGGTAGACATACATCTGACAATTAGTGGAAGGAGCTAGGAAGAGAGCCCACTGCTAACACACAGGAGTACATCTATTATCATCATTGGCCAATAGATGTAAAATTAAGCTCAAATTTCATTGACTTTTAAAACTGATTTAAGTCTTAATGATTTGTAAGTATGTGTTTCCCCTCCTATCTTATTTCCTCAATGCCAGACTAATCCTTTCTGTTTCAGTGATTAACATCTTTTTATCATCATTTGATTAATAGGTGCCTTTTTATCATCCTGAGATATACCATAATGATAAATTAAGCTCAGGCTACAAGGTGGCTCTTATTCAGTATAAACATTCAATTTATATTACTCAGCATATCTAATAAAACAAGTTTCAAGTAAAAATCTGACTTGGTAATTTTCTTCATTTTTTTTTCTCACAATACATTTCAGGATCACAGAGTTTATTAAATTTTACACCAAAGTCATTCCAAATGATTAATAGGTATTTATAGAAGAAAAAAATTGACTTATCTTGATAAATGGTGAATAAAGTGATAAAATTCAACAGAATAAACACACGTAAAACTGCTACATTTTTTGTACTTTCATGTGGTGTACTATGGCCTATTGTTTTGTACTAGATCGCCTCAAATTCTATCTTTCATAATCTCTAATCTAATAGCTCCTTACTCACCATGTCCAGTCACCTAATCCCCATTGAGCCCCCTCCTGACTCCCCATTACTGCCCCTCCTGACTATTCTTCCATGCCCCTCCTGGCCCCCCATCCCTCCCCCTCCTGACTGCCCCTCCCTTCCCCTCCTGACTACCCCATCCTGCCCCTCTTGACTATTCCTCCATGCCCCTCCTGGCCCCCCATCCCTCCCCCTCCTGACTCCCCCTCCCATCCCCTCCTCACTACCCCATCCTGCCCCACCTAACTACCCCTCCTTCCCCTGTTGACTATCCCTCCTTGCCCCACCTGAATCTCCCTCCCTCCACTTCCTGACTATCCCTCCCTTACCCTCCTGACTCCCCCATCCTTCCCCTCCGGACTCCCCCTTCCTTCCCCTACTGACTATCCCTCCCTGCCCCACCTGACTCCCCTTTCCTTCCCCTCCTGAGTCCCCCTCCCACCCCCTCCTGACTTTCCTTCCCTCCCCCTCCTAACTCCCCCTCCCTGAACCCTTTTCTCCTATCACAGTTTCCACCTTTCCTAGCTGTACATGCCAAATTACTACAAAAACATATCAATCTTGTAGCCATTTCCGTCTTCTAGAATTAAAACAGATTCAATTTCAAATGCTGTTTTTGCACTTTATACCGCTCCCGATTCATTGAAATCTAGAATTATAGGTGCACACTGCAAGGTTGAACATGGCACTGCTTTAGTTTCCAACATATCATGTCGGGTAATCTCCAGAAAAAGATAACAAAATTGTTTAATTTCAGAAAGGAATTTGAAAAGAAAGCAAGAACTAGACGGGCTGTATAGGAAATGAAAAAATCAGCATTCTTGTGAAGTCTGCATACACAGGTTTGTTTTCTGGGTCACTTTCTCTAAAAATCCACCTCAACTGAAATTAGTTCTAGTTTTCAAAGAGATTATGTCAGAAAATCCCACCTCAATTTAACCTGACAGAAATGAAGTTAGTGAGCCATGCTTCACTAACAGTGAATTCAGCAACTTTTCTATTGTTGATGGGCAAACCATCCATTTTTATAAATTTTTGATTACTAAATTTGTCTCAATCCCTATAACTAGCTGATCATGACAAATGAAGAAATAAATTTTGAAACTTGATTGATTTTGATTCAAAAACAAAAACAGTCCTTTGTAAAACAGCAAAATATCAGCTGAATAATGTGACCTTGGAAAGTCCTGTCAGTTTTTCGACTGATAATGATATCCTGCAGTTGTATCCATCGGCTGTATGATAATTCATGCCTCACAGCTACTCCATACACATTAAAATGTGATCGTGATGTATTGGGAACAAAAAAATTAACAAAGCCCCGACGAAAAACCTGGTAAAATATCCGCTAATTAGTGACTGAAAAAATGTGTTAAAACAGAAGCGCTGTTTTATGTTGTCAGAACAGTGTGGAAG